GGTCGGTGCGGGGGGGCCGTCGAGACCGGGGCTGGGTGGGGTGGGTCAGGAGCACAAGTGGGTCAACACTGTGGGCAAGCCTTGGGGCAGATCGATGGTGTTCAGCTCAGGGGGACCACGGGGGTGCCCCTGCACTGCCATGGGGCAGTCACCATGGGGCTGACAGGTCAAGGATCATTCCACTGCCCCCAAGGAGGTAGCAGGGCAGGCTTGGGGGGGCTAGGGGCATTCTGGGGCATGGGGTTCCTCTCTGGGGAAGGGCCAAGGCCAGGCCAAGATGTCAGCTGTGTGTTAAAGTCCAGGTCTGGATCAGCAGGGCCACGCTGCAGCCCTGGTGGGGTCCAGAATAAGATCCCCAGCTCAAAGGAGCTCACCTGAGCACCCATGGCACCACCGCAGTGTGGGCTAAAAGCCCTCTCCAAACCACAGTCAGCAGCCCTTGGCTGTGCTGGTCCTGGACTCGTCCTTGGTACCAAGCCTCCAGGAGCGAGGATGCTCCCAGGACCCTTGCACCCACAGACACCAACACAGACACCCAAACCTACTGCTATGGACTGCTGCTCGGGGGAGAGCCCCATCACCTATTTCTCCCATAGATGGCACCAGACGATGATACATCATTTGGCTCATGATGTATCTATCCTACCTCAAGACCCTTCGTTCTCTCCAGGATCCAACTCCCAGAGCTTTGGTCTATCTGGGCAGCAGACCAGCACTCTCAGCACTCTCTCCCATCCTCAGTACCGTGGCTTGAAGTTTGCTAGAGGGCTGCACAACCATGCAGGCACACCATAGTCTGCATGGTTGTACAAAACCATTTTGTTTTGTACTAACAATCATGTCTGATTATTAGTACCAAGAATAGTTAGAAATAAAGTTTACTGAGAATACAGGACAGATTATGGTGGTCGGATGCAGGGTGTAGTCAGAGAAGCATAGTGAGCAGCAGCCTGCTTACATGACCTTGGCCCCTTTCATCACTTGCTTCTCTGTTTCTCATGACCCTGTTCCTCCATGACCCACCTTGATCTTTACCTTTCTAAAGCATCACATAATTCCTATAAATCCCAAAACTCTCTTGAACAAGTCCACATTTCTAAGGCCCGATAAGTCCTATTCACGTTCAATAGTTTCCCTTAGTTTGCAAACCTTTACACAGAGACTTCTATCTTTTGAACCACATTTGTGGGTTTTGTACCAGGAATGACAGTTTTAGGAGCAGTGAATTAAGACAGAATTAGGTGAGCTGTGTTCTCACCTGGTCAACTTTATCCAATCTTTGTTTAGCTGAGTAACCATGAGAGAGGCAGCCTTATATTTGCCACTTCCTGGCATATCAAATGCAAATCATCTTGACAAGGATGAAGCTGTTTGTGTAATGCTAGAGGAGGGGAAAATTAAAGCACTTTGCACAATCCTGTGTGTCACACACTATCTGTATACTAAGTGGACTGAGAGAAAAGACACATAAATATTGTCTCTTTCACGGAACTGGTTGCTACTGGTGTGTACGCCAACCAGTCTGCTTTGCCCATCCCAGGCAGTCCATGCCCACCCCATGTGCCCGCTGAGCCACAGGGTGTCACAAGAGGTGTTGCATGAGGATAACGGTGAAGACTGCAACAGCCCCAGGAGGCACCTCAGCCTCTCCCCCTGCAGCAGGGAGGGACGAGGTGCAGCCCCATCTCCCCTGAGAAGATGGGTCACTTTGGGATTGGCCAACGGGAGATGTGTCAGCTGGAATAAGAGCATTAAACCAGGGTGTTCGGCCAAAGTGGCATTCCCTGACCCCAGGGACATCTGGACACGAGTCATTCCTGTTGGGTTTATCAGTGCTTGGGCAACAGGACCTTCATCAGGCAGGTAAGTGCAGGGTCTCTTTCTGGGCACCTCTCTCTTCCTATTGTACCTCTCTTGTCAGCTTCTGAAGCTTTCTAAATGACACCGTTGGCAGTATCCATGCATCGCATGAGGCCACCTGAGCTTTCCAAGAAAGACCACTAACTGTCTGTATGAGTCAGCGAGTATCAGAGCACAAAGTCTGCTGAAAGCAAAACTGGGTTTCCTGACTTCAACTGGGACTGGAAATGTGTCTTAAGGATTGAAGGTGATCTGGACAAAGTAGGGAGATACTATTCATTCAGCAGTACAGAGATTTTCCATTCTTTCAGCCTTACATTAACTTGGAATGTGGTTTTTTATTGACCATTCTGGTCTCCAGGTGCCTCCCTCACCAAGTGCTGGGCATCTTTAGGTACATGCATTTACCTCAACTCCTGAACCTGGGTCAGTTCTTGACCCCCAGTCTAACTGTTGGCATTGCGATTGAGTGTTGTCCTGAGCATCTCCTTATAGGCAAACATTCTCTTCTTTGGCCTTTGGGTATGGAGAGCCAGAAGTATGAGACCAAATGCACCAGCAATGTGTCTGGTCTGGTAACTACATTTGAAAGTCTGTCTTGCTTCAGCCTTGGCTCTGTCTCTCCATAAACATACTCAAGAGATAAGTGATCTGAAGGAGTTCAGCTTACAAAAGGAAATATTCTGCATTTTCCACATGTCTTTGAATATTGTTTGCTTAAAAGTGCAATGGTCAGGCACCACTTCCCCCGTGTGTCCTTTAAGAAAATACAGGGAGAAAAGTGAGAAATAAGGTGATGAAATGACATCAGCTGGATTGTGCAACAGGCCAATACTTCCCCAGCTGCTGCCAGGATATCCCAAAGGTGCATCTCTGACAACCATCCTTCAGAACAGGCCACAGAAAACATCGTCCTCTGTTACCTGGGACAGCTCCTCTGCAATTCGGGATCTTGCTGTGTGCTGCCATCCCCAGTAGTTTTGGTGTCTCCCCTCAGCAGCCCTGTGAAGATCCGGGACAGGCATCAGCCATGAAGATCCTGTACCTGCTCTTTCCCCTCTTGCTCCTGTTGGTCCAGGGTGCTGCAGGTGAGGGGGGACGAGGGGAGATGGGGTGGGCTGTGAGCCCCCTTAAGTGGGGTCCTCCGTGTCCTTGGAAGTGACCACCTGTACCCGAGGCCAGGAGGGGAATGGTTCTGTGGTTGCCTTAGAGCTCCTATGTGAAAAGCCACGCAACGGCGTAGATCTGGGTGCATTTACAGCAGTCACCATTTGCACTGGTTGTGGAAGGCTCCAGCCCGGAGAAATGGCTTGTCTGCTTCTGATCCCGAGTGTCCCAGAGCACTATTGCCACCACCCATGACCCCTGCAAGGGCTGGGCAAGGGCTTTCCATGGCAGGTCACTCAGAGGCAAGGCACAAGCAGGACAGGGACGTGGGATGGGAGGAGCGCCCGGCTTGCCAGCTCTCCTGGTCCAGGTAGCGGTGGACACGCAGCGGGGTCTCACATGCAGCGGGGGAGCCAGCACGGCTCTTCCTCAGCCTCACACTGGTGCTTCTGAGCGTCTGCTCTCACGTGCACCCACACTGGTGTGAGAGAGCCCCTGTGGGTGAGACACCCGGGTATTGAAGTTGTGGCTCTGGTGAGGATGCATTAGAGACTGTGTATTGCCCTGAAATGCATGGGGAGTGTCAGCCCTTCTGCCACCACACACTGCTCTCCAGGATATTGTTTTAACTGTTTCTCTGTGCATGATTTTCCATAGCACTAGGAAAAGAACAGCAATGCATACGAAAAAAGGGATTCTGCGTTTTGGGGGGCTGCCGTTTCCCCTATAAATATGTGGGAACTTGTTCAACATTCAGCCACTGCTGCAAATTGTAAGTCCTGGAAACAGGTTGCTCCTACTTGTTTTATTATTATTGTCTTTCAAACCAGCTCCTGGCTCACAAGTTCATGCATTCATGTTCAGAGGCAAAAGCCAGGGAAAGAAGGGAAAAGTGCTTGTGGATTTGGACATGCCTCTGGGGGACTGAAGGTGCCCAAGGTCAGACGGTGCCTCATCACTGTCCTTCAGCCCCACAGTGCTTGCCCACTGTCAATATAGGAAGCTCAGCTGTGTTGCCTGAACAAGAATGCTGTCCCTTGGGTAGCATGAGGCACAGGCTCCTCCTCCTCATGGCTCTAAAGACCCTTGGTGCCAGGGCTGCCACCAGTGAGGAGAGCACAAGTCCAAGCCAAATGAAATGAGAATTTACACCTTCTTATCTCCCTGCACTTGCTAGACATGGGAGTGGAGGTGGGAGAGAGTTACAGGAAAGTAAAAGTAAGTTACAAGAGGTGATGTGCTTGTGTGCTTTCTCCATACAGCATCTGGGGTTGAGCCCCTGAACTCCACGAGCAGGACGTCCCCTTCGCTTCTGGCTCCTGGCAACATGTCCTGACGTGCTCTCGGCG